TCTTGCCCAGGTCATGATGGACACTGCTTTTAAAGCAGACAAAAATTAAACTTGGAGTACTACTTGTGTGCAGGTTCAGTTATCATTGAATATGCATTTTTGCCAGGTAATAAACAACATTAAAAATAGAGAATGTCCCCCTGGCTTAGAGCATCATAGGATGCCTGCAACATTTAAAAAGAGATACCCCTATCAAAGTACCTGGGTTACTACTTGGAAAGGCTGTGATAAAGAAAAATGTTCATTCTTGGTGCAGAGGGTAAAAGAGGAAAACTAAACCACTGCTTATTTGCTAAACTCGGAGCTAGGAGGAGGATGCCTTTGGGACTGGAATTTGCATCGTCCCATATGGGAAATAGTTACCCCCGATGGTCCACGGTATGTGGCACAGTCCCCCTTGGTTCAAATTAGTAGCACCTTGATTGGATTAGGGACCCTATGGAGAGGCTGGCCTCTCAGCCCACCTAACATGACCTGCGTATACGAGTTACCTAATGTGTCATATGTAACAATAAGGCAACGTGTTTGTTGGGAGGAACCAGGTCGTTTGCTGCATGAAAACAGTGGACCTCGAGGAGCCCAAGAACTGCATTCCAGAGTCCTTCCCAGCACCCCTCAAACAGCGTTGTTCGGGAACGCCTGACCTCGCTGAACTTCGTGAAGAAAGAAGCTTGCTGTGTATCAGGCATCAGAGGGACTGCCGATAAGTTGTCAACGCGAATTGCTTTTGTCTGTCATCGTTAGTCTTGTTACTACGCATAGTTGTGTTTTTTTTAAGTCAATAAATCTTTCTTACCTTTCTACCCCCAACCACACTCTCAATCTAAACCCTCCGCAGGCGGCTGGAACAGGCACCCATGCAAATAAGTTGGCTGAGCCCACTCCAGCCCTCTAAATATATAGGGTACATGGGTAAAATCAGCAGGATTTGACCTCAAGGATGGTCAGTGTTACAGTGATCCCATCTGCCAGCAGGCTCTTACCTAGCAGGTAACAGGGCCAGATTAGCTGATCAGCGATTCGACAAGCAAATCGTTGAATTATAGAAGATGAGAGTTGCAAGGGATCTCGGGGTGACATCTAGTCCAACCCCCTGCTCCAAGCAGGACCGTCCCCAAGGCAATATTTGGAGATATGGAGAGGTAAAGGCAACATTTGAGGGAGCCAAACTTTGTATTTTCATTGAAAATGCACATATGATGTTGCCTGGAACATTTAGGCAGCTTTGTCTAATGATTTGGCATAAACTAAATAAATAAACCTGGAAAACAATAGAGGGCTTTTCAAGGAAACGTTAGCTTTTTCAGAATGAAGCCTTATTTTATTTTATTTTTTGCTTGCTTTCAAGCAATGCGGTCCTTCAAAATTCATTTAACAAAGTTGTCAAAAACATTAAATTGAACTTAAACGTAAAACAAAAGGTTTCCGGTTGAACCAAAATCAGCAGTCTTTAGTTTGGGTGGGAGAAAAGATTTTGTTTAACTGAAATAAAAAAGGCTGCAGATTTCTTTCTCATGCAGCAAGCCAGGCCAAACAAGATCAAGTGTTTGCACAGCTGTGAATGTGACACCAACATGACATGGGCAGTGACACTTCCCCTCTATTCAGCACTGGGGAGGCCACATCTGGAGTCCTGCTATCACTTTTGGGGACAAAAAGGATGGGGACAGTTTGGAAAGAGTCCAACGTAGGGCAACAAAAATGATTAGCGGCCTGGGAAGCAGGATGTCTGAGGAAAGGCTGAACGAGCTAGGGTCATTTAATCTGGAGACGCCTGAGCGGGGATTTGATAACAGTCCTCAAACACCTGAAGGATGGTTATAGCGAGGATGGAGATGGGCAGGGGTCAGGACTAGTTGCAACGGCTTCAAGCTGCAGCCGGGGAAATTGAGGCTGGAGATGAGGAGGAACATCCTGACTCTGAGGATGATCAAGCACTGGACCAGGCTGCCTAGAGAAATGGTAATCGCTCCTTCCTTGGAAACTTTCGGAAAACAGGTGGGACAGCCCCTTGGCTGGGCTGGTTGAGTCAGGGCTGGTCCTGCCTTGAGCACGAGGCTGGACTAGATGACCTCCTGAGGTCCCATTCAGCCCTACTTGCCTATGATCCTGTGACCCTAGATCAAAAGCGCAGCCCGGTCTTAACAAGCCACATCCCCAGCTGACAGTTCATTACAGGTGATCATGGAAATAGTTAGCCTTTTCCATGTTGTGATAGAGATGGCTATATGAAAGCCCATAGCGAGGGGGAAAAGGGGATGCTGCAGCATGCCTGACGCCATGGCATCTCTGGTAGCAAAGAAGAGTCCCTGGCACTGAGTTTTAAAGTGCTCTGCCCTTTAAGGCAGGAAATGCACTTTGCTTCATTTCAGTGCACAATGTCCAGCCTTCATAGCCGGCCCTATAAAAATACAAGCTAAAATAACAGCAGTAATCCCAGATCTCTCTCAGTCTTCACTGGGGCACTTCAGGCCAGGAAGCAAGTGATGAATACACACAGCACAGGCCCCTGCAACTGCAACCCACCCGGCCCTTTGGCGGACAAGCGCCTCATTCATAAATGGTATCAAAAAACAAGCAGACACACAGCGCTACCATTGCATCCTTTAATGGGGAAGGCGGCATATTCAAATTAGCCGGCCACTCATTCGACACCCTTTTCACGAGGAGCGAACCTGCCGGAGAGTTGAAAAAGGCTTGCACAATTCACAGCGGCAGTTTGCCGAGCATTGAGCTCCATGATGCTGCAAAAGGAACAAAAAGAGCCGGGAGGAGCAAATGAAGGGAACCTGGGTGAATCCCGTGTGGGCAGAAGAGATGGATGAGGCCAGTGTGAGAAGATCAGACCAGACCAGACCAAAGCCCCAAGAGAGTCCTCCTGGCAGCTGCCCGACGGCTGAGCACTGCACCCTGCGTGCCTCCAGCCCAGGCTTGGCCATTGCCCTCTCCCCAGCCACCCTCAGGGATAGCTGTGCAGCTGCCTCCCCTTCCTCTCTACCCTACCGCTAGCTGCCAACTCCTCCCTTCTGGCAGACGGGCATTGGCTCCCAAGGAAGGGGGACATACTCCTCACACTGGCTCAGCCACCCGCGCCATCACCTTCCCAGGACGAGATTTCAGGGCATCCGTCAGCATCCCTGCTCTGCATCTCCAAGCAAGAAGCCTCTGCTGCTGCTCTGGTTTCCTCTAGCAAATCAAGAACAGACCCCTTGACATTGCTCTCATTTCTCACGAAATAGAGACTCCGGTGCTTGCCCCCGAGGCAGGCATGTCACAGCTCCCTTCTCACTTCAAAATTCAGCGCTCCCTTAGCTTAAGGCAGTGGTTTTCAACCTTTTTTGTACCAGGACCGATGCCAGTCCCTAGCCAGCACCCCTCACTCCTGACCTGCTGCCCCCGAGTGTGGGGCAGGGGAGGCCCCAAGCAACCCCTCGCAGACTAGAGCTCTGCCCTCCTGCAAGGGAAAACCCCACTGTTTCCCACGCTTTCCTCCTCTAAAGGATAATCCATTTTTGAAGTTTGTTCGTGGCCCTTTCAGATATTCTTGCAACCCGCTTTTGGGTCAAGACTCACAGGTTGAGAAACGCTGGCCTCGTAATAGATCCTGAACAAACTGATTCAAACTCGTTTGGAGTCTTTAACAACCAGCCATCGCTCAAACATCGCCGTTTCCTGATGTCCTCATCGCAGCTAAGTTAGACAACTGCATTCGTGCCTCTGCTGCCTCCGCTGTGCTCTGCACCCTGCTAATTCGCACACGTACAAAGTTGCTTATAAGCGAAGATGAGCACGTGTCTATGTGCTGGCTTTCAATCTCGACCCTTGCCCTTGGGCCACTCCTTTCTTCTACGTACTCAACAACTCTCAGCCATGCAGGTTACTCTGTCAGGTGCTTAGCAGTCTACAGAAGGCATTTTCACCACTGCTTCCACCTTTCCACATTGCAGAGACAGTCCTCTTTGTGTCAGTCTACAACCCGTGCTGGAAGGTAGGGCCGAGGAGCGACTTAGACAGATTCAGAGTGACCTAGACAGATTGGAGGACTGGACCAAAAGAAATCTCATGAGGTTCAACAAGAACAAGTGCAAAGTCCTGCACTTAGGAGGACACAGTCCCATGCACCGGTGCAGGCTGGGGCCAACTGGCTTGGCTGCAGCTCTGCAGAAAAGGACCTGGGGGTGACAGGGGACAAGAAGATGGATATGAGTCAACAGTGTGTCCTTGTTGCCAAGGAGGCTAGTGGCATCCTAGGCTGCATTAGCAGGAGTGTTGCCAGCAGATTGAGGAAAGTAATTATTCTCCGCTATTCAACAGTGGGGAGGCCACATCTGGAGGCCTGTGTCCAGTATGGGCCCCCCACTACAGAAAGGATGTGGACAAACTGGAGAGAGTTCAGCGGAGGGCAATAAAAAGGGTTGGAGGGCTGGGAGACAGGACTTATGAGGAGAGGCTGTGGGAACTGGGCTGATTTAGTCCGCAGAAGATAAGACTGTGGGGGGGATTAAATAGCAGCCTTCAACTCCCTGCAGTGGGGTTGCAAAGGGGATGGAGCTGGACTGTTCTCAGTGGGGGCAGATGACAGAACAAGGAGCAATGGGCTCAAGCTGTGGCAAGGGAAGTTGAGGTTGGATATTAGGAAAAACTCTCTCACTAGGAGGGTGGTGAAGCACTGGAACAGGTCACCCAGAGAGGTGGTGGAGTCTCCATCCTTCGAGGTTTTTAAGGCCCAGGTAGACAAAGCCCTGGCTGGGATGATGTAGTTGGGGCTGGTCCTACTTGGAGCAGGGGGTTAGACTAGATGTGACCTCCTGAGGTCCCTTCCAGCCCTCATTGTCTGTGATTCTATGAAAAACACCATTTGCCACCTCTTCCAGTAAGACAGAGCTGGACTGAGGCTTGAAGAGGTGTGAGGCTGTATTCACCGAGTTTAGGGAGGTTTATTTGTTCCAGGGACGTTGGCTCAGGCCCATCCCTGAGGTGCGTCTACCCATTGGCGGAAAAAACAGAGCTCATTGCTGTCTGTCGAGCAATGAAATTGGGACATTGCCACTGGAGAGCTTGTTATTAGAGGAAAGCAAAGAGACGTTCATTTGCTAAAATGTATAACCGTTAACCAAGAACGTCTCTCTAAGCTGAGTCTTCTCCCCCTCAGTTGAACTTGGCTCTGTGTTTCATTTTCTTCCAATAGGCTATTAATGGCAGAGAAGATGAGAAAAACAAAGGCTTCATCCTTCTTGACCAATAGAGTCCCCCTGGGAATCGGGTTGACATCAGGCATGGGGAAGAGATAAACACGCATAAGCCACTCATTTCTGCCGGTGAATCAGCAGCTCACCAAGTCCCTGACAGCAGCTTCCAGTGGGCGTATGCATGATATGTCATACCGGCACACTGCAGCTGTTTTAGCTGAAAGGCTCCCGTCAGCTGTGCAGAGAGGTCTTAAGGAAGACGTGGTTGGACAAAGCATGTCCTCCTGGTTCCCCCGTGCTCGGGATGCAACCGCAGAAAATGTTCATAGGATGATCACAGGGGCGGTAAATACGACATGTGAAGAGAGGGGAAGGAAGCAGAGCCCAACGGATGCTGAAGTGGGGGAGAAACACATGGCAGTAATATGGGGCGAGGGACTGGACTCGATGATCTCCCGAGGTCCCTTCCAGCCCTAATGTCTATGAAATCTGTGAAATATTATGGCTGTAACAGACAGGTGTGAGCTGCTATCAAGGGTGGATCCAGAATTTGGAAAAGCGGGCAGCAGATGGTGAGGTGCATCACCCTATATAAAACAACACATATTTTTTCCCAGTTAAAAATAACCTGAAAGCTTTGCTAATACGGTAGGGGCCTCCTTAGGACTGGATCATTTAGTTTAAGATTGATGCAGAAACAAATCAAACTGCATTGGACTGAGTTAAAAAACAGTCTGCAGGGCTGTGAAATAGGAGCTTCTTTTCCAGGAGGAGCTCACAGAACAGAAGATAGCTTGATTGGTGCAACATCGAGACTATTAAAAAAAAAGAGAGAGAGGGTCTTTAAAACCTACAGAATGAGTAGTTTTGCAGGAATCAGGTAGATTATAATGAGCCATGAAGTCAAATGACTCCCTCAGCACTGTCTGAATAGAAATGTTGCTGATGCCATGGCCAGGCAGTTGGTTTAAAACTCTGGGTGGAGCAAGGATCAAAGTGGGGTGCAAGTGCACCAGCACACCCCTTCTGGATCCACCCCGGGCTGCTGTCTCCCATAACAGCTCTAAAATCTGCAAGTTATGCCACTTATACAGTCTAAGCTGCATAAAGCAGGCACATTCTGCAGCTTGGAGATTACCTGACATGCACAGCAGCTGGTTCATCTTGCAAGTCCCAAAGCCAAGTGTTTTTCTTCCCCTGGCCATATCTGCTATTGTCGCCATGGCACAGACTCTGCTGCATTTCATAGACATGGGGATAAATGGCTTGATGGATCGGTTGTGTCTACCGTGCTCTGAATCTCACCATCACAAGCCTTAATGAGGGGTGAACAGCTGGGTACCCACCTACACAGTAGCAAGCTTTAATGAGGTGCAGAAAGCTAGTCCATTTTGTTCCATCACAAATTAATTGGCATGTTTAATGAGGTTTAAGTGTGCCTTTACTTAATAGAATGAATGGATTAATAGGATCAGTGGCAAATGGCTGGGGTTATGTGTCTAAGACCCGTATTATCTGTGGGCTTCCATTGTGCAGGAAGTACTTGGTGAGTGAAAGTGCCATAACACAAAGGATATTCCTCCCCCTTGTAGCTTTTAGGAGGAAAGATAGTTCTATTCCCAGCTATTACATGGATCCAGAAGAGGACCTCTGGTGCATCATTCAGCCTCCCCGTCCTTTGCTAATTATGACAGCAGGATCTTC